CACCTCCCACCCCACATAGCCATAGGCTGATCTACACCTTTGGTTTCTCAGGGACCTTTTCTTCTTTGGTTTTCTGAGGGCCTGTCTTGTTCTTACACTCTCTCCTCTTGGGGGGCCGTGGTGGGGCAACTACAGTGCTAGGCAGCAGCCTCACCAACTGATAGTAGAAGGATTCAGTCAGCACTTCAATCTTTGACATGTCTGTCAGGTGGGTTTGCACTGGGACACGCTCTTCTGTGAGGAACACGGACATGTCCAGCCACTGGGGTGGGATTTCAAAGCTTGCATCTGGCTCCTCACACAAGTTGGTCACTAAGAAAGTCTCGGTGATCTGTGCTTCTAGCCGCAGCATGGAGTAGGAGCCCAGGATGTCAGGGGCAAGAGAGGAGTCCTTGACTACCATCCGGACTTCACAGGGCAGTTGAAACTGTTCTACTATCTCAGGAAGGGTATACTTCTTGCTGTCTGCCATCTCTTCCACAAAGCCGCCATTCAGGTACATTGGCAGCAAAAGCTCTTCATTCTCTTCATCATCCTCTTCTTCGTCACCACTGCTCCGGCTGCACAGAAGGACATCAGTGGCTTGGTGCTCTGCCTGATTCTGCATATTGCCCTTGACCAGGCGCAGCACTTCCAATCGGTCCCCTACGCTGAGTGACGGTAGGTCCTCCTCATTGCTTTCACAGTCCCTGGTAACTACTACACGCAGGTGCTTGCTTGACCCCAGGCTCATTGCTAAGTCATAGACAGTAGGGAACTCTCTGGGACGTCTCCGGAACCTGCCTTGGTAGGTGCTGGAGAGCAGGAAGTGGTGGGAGCCCTTCCTGGAGGATGCCAGAATCCTCCAGGCACAGACCTTACTGTGGATTTGGATCTTCTGTCCTTTATGCAAGCGGGCAATCCAGTCATTCTCAAAGATGAGGGGGTAATTAGGCCCATCCAGAATCTCAGCTTGCACAGGATAGATATCCTGCAACTTCAGCACCTCACTCAGCATCAGTGGCTTAATAAAGTGGATGTGCTGGGACTCCTCTGTGACATCCTCCACATCCACTTCCAGGGAGGAGGGAATTTTCACCACGTCCTTCCGCACTGCAGGGGGCACATGCACATTAGTGGAGCCAAGGTCCCACCCTTCCACTCATGCTAATGTCAAAAGGATCCCAGGACAGTAAGGCGGGCACTTTTTTCTATCACTTTAGGCACTGAGTGGAAGCTTGATCCCAGATCTGTACAGTTCACTGTCAGTGACAGTACACATGCCACATGAGGGAAGCATTTGGGATTTGCTACCACTCATTTCATCCTAAATAAGAAGGGGCCTGTAACAAGCTGTGGAGTTTCAGGGGGCTTGTAGCAGCCTGCAGGCTTTCAGAGGCTACAGCCAGCTGCACCTGGCAAGCAACTGATTGCAGGCTTGCTAGGAGGATTAGCCTAGCTACATGCAGGAAAACCTAATTACAAACTGCCTAGGGAAAGGGACCAACTGAGGCAGATAACTAGAGTCAGTGGGTCAGCTCATGGAGAAGCCCAGGGATCACACTAAAACTGCCTCTCTCCCAGAGGACTGTGAGTGCAGCTAAGAGACGATAAGTGAGCTTTCCTGTGGCTGGAGCGACAAGGGGGAGAGTGAGTAAATGGCAGCAGAACCATGCCTGAGGACTCTCTTCAGGTCTGGGAGAAGTGCATAGTATACACATTGGGTTTATGACTGAATTGCTTATGTTGACTCCTGTCAGGAGGGAGTTTGCCCTGGGGAAGTTAATAAGCTGAGAAAAGATAGTACTTGAACCCCAAAAAACTGTGTTTGAGCTAAGCAAATCCCCAAACCTGCTACAGGGCCCAACGCAGCTCAAAGATACATTGAAACTTGCCAGTCCCAGGGAGCCCCAAGGTGTCCACAGGCAGCAACATCATATTCTGATCATCTGCACAACCTACCATGAGCGGTGACACGTTCTCAGGGCATATGTCATAGGCAGGGCTTATACTGTGGGCAGAGCTTGGAAGAATACTGCCACCTTTTTCCCAACTAACCCCTGACTGATAGTCTGTTATGGATTATTTAAGAGGTTAAATTAATGGTTTAAATACACTCAGTTCAGTGAAATAAAAGGAAAGTTATCCCCCCTTGTATCCCAAAGTCATACAGACAGTGTCATATGCTCCCACACACAGGGATTCAAATGTACTGACAGATATACAAAATGCACACAAATATAGTAGGATATAGACATGCATACACATGTGCACACATCTTTGACATATAAATGGGTTGATAGAGACAATACCCACTCACAATGTGCACCAAAGTCTCACAGAAATAGTGGAGCACACAAAGACAGAGAAACCAGAACTTAAACAACCATCAGACCCAAGATGGCCACACATACCAAGGCCCTACCCCCAAAACTAAGAGATACACATATGCATGTACAGAAAGCTAAGAATACCAGAACATCCATACTCACCAGACTTGCCCAGAGACATTAAGATGGGGATAGGTATACAGACACTGAGGTAGGCATATATGTACACACATATATGCATGCATACATATATGCAGACACAGGGACACCCATGCCAGAACCTACCCAGCAGACAGACACCCATAGGTCCCTTGACAAAAAATGTTGGAGGGCTCCCAGGGACAGCCAGGCCCATACTCACTGTGCATTATTGCCTGCACTTCATACTCTGGGCAAAGGAGGAAGTTGTGTGTGCCAAGTTTGGAGCACTTCAGGTGCTGGCCCCACAGCTCTTTTGCTTGCAATGCCTGGCTCAATGTGTAGTGGTGCTGCTCCCTGTATGGATAGAATAAGCCCCTAAAGGAGAAAGGCAACCAGAAAGCATGGTGCCCCCTGGGCCCATTGGTTGTGCAGGAAGCATACTTTCCGCCCTCATGGGTAGTCACTGATGTCAAGGAAATAGACTGGCCCTTTGGAATGATTTGCCCATCTATGCTCAAGTCAGCTGCGGAGCTGAAGTAGCATGGCATGGCCTGGAGCCCAGCTGGTCTGGTTTTGGCAAACTCCTCCAGGCTTGTAAAAGGCTGCTCGTCTGGGCTGAGCTTGAAATGACCTGCAGGGAGAGCACAAGACACCTTGTGATTGGTGAGTCCCCTGAGAATGACGGGCCAAGTGAGACACAGCCAGCAGCAGAACTTAAGTGAGAAATTGTTGACCCTGTTTGTCACCCACATTGGCAAAAGAAACTTGCAGTTAGCAACACCCACCTCTGCAGGATGCAAAAGTAAGGGTGCAAGGGTGTGACCTGCTTGTGGTAGGTGGCATGCAAGTCATATAATAATAGACAAGCAGGGCTGAGGAGACTTTCAAGGGCCATCTACTCCAGCCCTCTGCCTGAAGCAGGATAATCCCTATCCAAACCATCTTATACAAATCCATTATCTAACCTATTAGTAGAACTACGGTCACCCCTGACACAACCACAGGGTATAACCCCCTAACCTGCCATAGATAAAGCAGG